AACATGACATTTACCACTTTGGCCACCTAAGGAATAATAGGAATGAGCACTTTGGAATAAGGTTTCTTCTCCAGAGAAAAGTTATCTACGTCTACATGATGAAACAGGCTTTGAAAAAGCCCCTAACCCACACCACACGAACCAAGAAGTTCCTAGCTACTCTATGAATAACTGCACTGACTATTTCAATCGGTAAGGAAACCACAAGAATATCCTTGGATCTATTTTCTTGGACAGAAGCCATTGATTCTGGATCCACAATGTGGAGGCCACGATCCACATGGATCACCCTAGTACTCCCCCCTAACTCTGAAAAACACAGGGAGCCCATTTGATTGACGTGGCCTAAAAGCACCATTGTGTCCAAGCAGGAGACGGATCTGAACAGCGATGAAACTCCAGGCAGCGACACAGGAAACTCAAATTGAGAAGACATTACTGGACCCACAGTTACAGTGTGAGCAGAAACCCTCTGAGGTCCTGCCCCTCTGCATAGCTGCGCAAGACGGAGAGGCATTTCTGCCCAGGAACACGCCATTTGCTGAGACACTTGTGCTCTTTGTGGAAGAAAGCAACACTGATCTATACTGGCTGTATGCTTACAATGCAACCCCGCTGATTTCAGATCAATACATAAGAGAGGCTTGGAAACAATACTTGGGAAGCTAAAAAGATTGGCCAGCTTACCTTTACATAACACTGAGAGGGTGCTTAAATCAGATATTTCCCTGTCCAGTTCTAGCACTGCTCCTACATAGCAGTTTCTAAGCTTCCTAGCAGGAAAAAAAGAAAATACATTTGGTATTTACTCCAAGTCTTGCAACTGCTAGTTAACTACTACACAGCTACCTTTAGGCAGTATTAACTACACTTTCAATCTTGGTCTAAAAACAAACAAAAAATTATTGGCTGAGGTTTATACCCTGTTTTACCTGGCTGAGGTGCTACAATTCCTATTAATAACCATGAACAGCTTGATGATGCCAGAGTTTCCTCAAATACCACCAAGTGATCTGACTTTTGATGCTGCTTTCTCCTGTGTAAAAATACAGAAAGATTGACAAAGCCTAGGTCTTCTCACTTTCTCACAGAGAAAGCACATGGCTGTTCTTCCCTAATTCTAGGGCAGCAATAGTTTGGGATTCGTTTTATATGCTCAGAAAGGATTACAGTATTTTCAGACGTTCAGCTTTTCTGAAGAACAGTGGTCTGGAACTCTCCCAGTGTCATGTCTCAAGCCTTCATCTATACCACCACATGTCAGTTTATCCTGATGCTTCAACTATGCCACTCTAAACATCATGAAAGCAGCATAAAATGGAGTTATCTCCCTGTCAGCAAAGTAAAATCTGCAAACGCTATGGTTTAAAAAAAATCCTGAAAAAAGGAAACAGAAAACAACATGGGAACTGAAGGGCTGATTCCCCTCTTAATCCAATCACTGGAAACAAAGGCATTGTAATATGACATTCCTCCTCAAAAGAAGCTCTACAGATAACTAACATGTGCAAATGTGTTTTTAGCTTTCCTTTCCCCAAGAGATAACTGTAGCCCAGCAGGGACCAAACATTCCATATAAATAAGGCGAGCTTTTTTTTTTTTTGCATAGTAGTTTATCAGTGATAGTCCCACCCCACTGAACCCTCCTTTGTCCACCTGCTTTGCCACCGAGCTGAGACCTGCTTCTTCAGATTCTGGAGTCTAGCAGAAAGCTTGTACAAATCTCAAAGGCTCCTTCACCCCAAAAGATCAAATGAAGAAATTCCTTTTAATATTGTATAACTGCTTAATCCTAAAAGCTGTCTTCTAAACCCGCTATTATTTTTAAATGTTTACAGTTCAATTTGGAGGCATTCTTTTTTGTGCCAGACATTGGTAATTGTACCGTAATTGTCTTGAGTTCGCTTCTCATTTTGCTAGTGTTCCTTTTGCCAATCAGTGCAGCAGTTCAATAAAACCATAAGCTTATTGAAATACCCAGAGCCTTTGCAGCACCATTCTCTGCTGCTATCAGATATTTTTTTAAATAATATTTTTTATAAAAACACCTGCTATTAATATTCCACTGGAGCTCAAAGTGGCTCAGCTTGGGGCAAAGGCACAATTAAAACACCATGTTTTCTCAGAGGACTCTGCATTTATGATTTGTATAACAATAGAAATTTACAGCACCAATCCTTGGGTGGGGATGGGTGTAGGAATGAGTCCTTAGAAACCCTGTGCAAGGGCTTACAAGTCCTTTCCCCCCCCCATCAGTGTACTGTTTTTTAATCTTTTCTTGTATCTTCCCTTTCACTGGAATGCTCCAACTACGTATCAGCTGACCATGGGCTCCACATCCGTCTCTCTGTCCAACTCATCCTGAATTTCATCTGTGTTTCCTGAGTCGCTGCTGGCTACAGAGCTGGGAGATGGAGAATTTCTGTAGAAAAATTCAGAGAAAGGTTTAGACAGAAAATTAAGTATCAATGACAGAAAAAAACCCCGAACCTTTAAAGAAAATAGTCGCTTTAAATTGTTTTGGGAAGTGAAAAAGTCCTTCATTAACATTAAACTTTGGGTTTACAGTAAATATCAGTAGTAAACTTAAGCATCTCATGTGCTGCCAGCCCACCCCTGCCATCTCCTATAAAAAGGCTGCTTTAGGTTTACGGATGGGGAAATGGAAACTAAGTCCAATGAACATCCTACAGAGACTCTCATCATCCATAATACGTACAGTCTTGAAAACTCAAGAAAAGTTTATCATCATCATCTTTTAAGCCAGGATGTGTACTGGGGGCAAGCAAGAGATAAGAAAAATCCCTCATGGTATAGGGATCTTAACACGTGAGAAGATTGAAACACAAGTTCTTCATACAAGTCCATAGTCAAGATAAAATTTTGGGGTTGGTTTGTTTGTTTTAAGAGTTCCAGGTCTATGACACTAAGACTAAGCGTCCATCCAAGCTAGACAAGAGGTAAGTCCATTTATACAGTCCCATGGTGACACCCCTGTTTTCACTAATAGGTGTTGAAACCTTAAAAGTGTTACTGTGTGTAGGAACCTATACACTGTTACAGGGTTCCTTTTAAGACTGGTATTTGACCCTGAACAAAACAAGATTATCTATAGAGGACAAAGCTTTAGGACAAAATGATACTATTGCCCTTAGACAACTTGGCAGGAAACAAGAGCAAAATAAATTCTTGAAGCACCCCAGGCAGAACGGTAATATCTTATTACCTGTCAGCTGAGCCTTTGATAAGCCTACGACAGGTTTCCATTTGTACATCCAGGCCCCTTTTCATACTACACATTTCCATATATTCATGAAGGTGGCGATTCATGTCACTCTTGGCCGTGGCCAATTCCAGCTTTAAGAAATAAGAGGAAAATAATCAGCCCAAGGTGAGTTGCTAGCAGCTTCTCCCGGCTTCACTCAATTTTTACATACTGCTGGGGATGCTAAAGCTGCCCAGAGCCAATCCAAAACATCCGCACAATATATGCTTAACCTCTGTGTTGTAGACTGCCAATGTATTCATCAGCTTCTGAAGTGTATTTTAATCAGAGCTCAACACTGGTTTTTAAACAGCCCTCAAGTTTATTCTGCTGCTTGGCATCTTGTTTGTCAACATGCAGTAATTAATGAAAGCATATTCTAGGCAGGGCAAAGACTTTGTGTCTGGCAACCTCTGAGGCCACATCTTGTAAATCATTTCCCAGTGTGACGGTGGATATGCAAGACAAATGGGGGGAAAAAATAATAATAATAATACATTTTTATTCTCTTTGTTCTGAAGGTTCTCTCTCCACCAGCTACAGATTTATGCTTACTCAATAATAGGGCTGTATAGAGAATGGTATTTAGAAAAAAAATCACAAGGGTATGTCAAAGGAAAACGCCTTTGCATTCTTAGATAGGTAGACATTGCACCTTTCCTCTGTGGGTATACCGGACCAGAACACTGCGCATGTTTTCGTCCGTTAGAAACAATTCATATTGTCATGAACAATAACTTCCTTACCTCTATCTGCCCTATTGTTTCTTGGTATTCCTTGTCTCTCGTTTTAAAGAAAGACTCTGTTTCATGGATCAAGTTTCCCAGGTTTTCTTCCTGCAGGGGAAAGGAGAACACAAAGAATTAGCAAGAAACTAACAAGGAATTCAGCAGCAGACTGAAGATTTTCTTACTCAACCTCATTCAGAAACGCAGGCTGTTATGCTCTTCCATGCAAAGATTTTTTTTAATACATTTTTACACAGGCAAGGAATAGTCTGCTTCTTAAAACTGGCATACCAGGAAACGCTTTTTTGTACCATGACCATGGCTTTGTGCACACCAAGATGAAGTCTCTGATCAAGGAACCTACAGACCAAGGCTCCAGCAATCAAACACAGGTACCTGATGCATGCCAAAGAACCAAAACCATGGATTTTCCTGAACCTTTCACAGTCTGATCACGCTTAGACAAGATTGTCATTGCTCTCCAGCCACAAAACAATTTTTTCTCGCATTGACCACACCACTATTTACAGCTTTGCACCGGAATTCTCATTTTCCAATTACATATTATTACTCTCAAGCCCTTTCAGTCTCCATTACCTCCCATATATGCTCTGCATGCATTGTTTCCTATTGAAATTCTTCACTTAACTGCTAGATAAAGCAAGCTGACTCCAGCACACTACCGATGAAAATATCACACATAAGAACACATGCTGTCCCAAAGGAAACATCCTGCCAGACAACAGCTCCCGTATCATCATTGCTTTGGATTGACAGTACAGTCTGGGCTACAAAGCATATAGCACTATTTCATGCTGTCAGAGACTAAAACAATGTCATTGTTCTCTCTTTCACATTATTACCCACCTCCTTTTTCCAGAAAAAAAAAATCAATTTAATGCAACTGCCCTGATGAGCATTAATTATGTTTCCATCCTTTGGCCGCATCTGTGGCACCTTTATCAGGATCATACCTGGTACCAACATCAGGCTAACCAGCCTATAGTTACAAGAATCATTCCGCTTATCCTTTTATATGCAGAAGCGCTTTAAGGAGGAAGGTCATAAGAAGAAGGTGGCTAGGGCACTGCGTAAGAACTTGAAAGGAATAAAGCCAGTGGAAGGAAGATTCAGGCATGCAAAGCACTATGTTAAAGACCAGGCACAGACGGAGCAGTCTTTATTCTGAATCTCCATCTACAAGACAAATCTACCCTTTCCTTGTATAATTTTCATTTAGAAGGATTTAAGCTTCTTAAAACCTTTCGAGTTTTCGCACGGAAGGTCTGAGTTCGGCAGTATTCCTCTGATAGCTGTGCTTATACATGCACACATGGGTATATGCAAATAAATCTGTCACTAATTCCAGCACATGGCTACACATTATCACTCTGCCACTCTCCCTGCTCAAAAGACGACATGTAGCTAAGTACGCTGCTTTCTGCAGCCCTAGCACTTCTGAGTAATCTCCGCAGTTTCAGAGTATGCCAGATGATACACAAATGGGAAGATGTAAATTAACACACCCCTAGCAGTCACCACAAGACAATATTCAGGACACTGCTGCCTCAGCATCTTTACACTACAGCGATGATGGAAGAAGGCAGGATTATTTCTTACCTACTGCTGTCGTGCTGCTCAGTATTGAAATAACAGCGTCACATTTAAGACTACCCACACAAAGCCAGACCTTGCCATTTCAATCTCTCTTTAGGCCTGTTTAAAAAGGCTCAAGAGTCACTGAATGAGGCAGGATGCAGCCATTAGCTTACTTGGTGTCGGATCTTAAGGATTAAAAGCAAGCTGTTTATTATCCACCAACGCCAGGAGATTCCTATTGACTGCGAAGATGGAAGCACAAGATTGACGGGTTCAGAAGATCCCTGGGGCCTTACACAGTCCTGCAACCACAGCTTCTTTGTCTGTGATGGGCTGGATGTACTTTAACATCTTCCACGGACCATACTGCGTTTATTTTTCTCCCCACTAGAGTAACTGTGCAGTATCATCCCCCACACTACGTGTACTATTTTGACAATTAAAGTGTGAATGACAATCTACAGAGAAAGTGAGATGCTGTGTGGAAGATATAGGGCTTTAGATAAGCAACTGCTTAGGGTGGCAGATTGTGCGATGCTCCTACAACAGCTAGACGCATTGGATCTTTTGACACTCACTTGATACTTTTTAATACTCGGTTTGAAGGAGCAGAAGAAATGAAGTTTGGCAAATAAAGTGATTGCACAGACTGAAAACCAACCATAGAGAGAAAGCACTGGGGATTTTAAAATCAAAGCAAGTTTGTGTGGCAAACTAGATCACCAGTCAAATATCCAAAGGCTTAAATGGCTAAAAGAGCAGCTGAGGGATACAGTTTCTGCAGAGAATAGTTTGAGAAAGTAATAAAATAAACTCACCTCTCCTTGGAGGTCAATTGAGGGATTGCAGTTTGTGAAGTCTTCCCAAAGAAGCAACGTTTCCTCATTCTCCTCCCACGTTAAACTATCACAATCGTCATCAAAATCGAATGTCTCACGACTGTTAAGATAACAGAAAAAGCATTAGTGAAAACTACTCCAGCCCCACTCCCTCAGTTCTTCAACTAATCTTCTAGAAAAAAGGGGCTAGGAGAACCGAATGAAGATGACAATGCAGCAGCTGAAAATCCTCACAGGTTTTACAAACAGGCTTCACCACTGTCCAAGTCCCTCGCTCCTGGGCTCTTTACCACCCCAAAGCAGAACAAAAGATCTGTGTTAGCATTCCTGGTTCAAGTACACAGTCCTAGCTCTGTCCTCCAGATGGTGCTGCACATTAGTTTCCTGTTTGCAAAACCACAAAAATGTTTTAAACTATTCCTTTTATACATGGGAAAATAAGCCTAAACACAGTTTGAGGAATTTTACAAGAAACAGCCACTAGAAGACTCCCTGCTGATTTTCACGCTGAATTTCAGCCAACATTTTTCCTGCAGCACTTAAAAACATTGTTTTCAAAAGTAACAACTATGAAAAAACTGAACCCCTAGATGATGTGCAGGTGAGCATAAATACTTATTGTTGACTTGAACAACAAAGATACTACTACAACCACTTAAGACTGAGAACAAACAGTGGCAAGAGTGGCCTTTAACACTGTTATTTGGTCAAGCCCCTTTAGTACAGTCAGTTGTGCAATAAAGGAAAGTTTCAGAAAGCACTTGAGTCCCTTTTGGTTTGAAGAGCAGCAGAGCGAAACACTAGTAGCTGCTTCTTGTCCTTGTTAAGGAGGCCTGACAAAAATCTGAAATTGCTCCCAGAAGCAGTCTGCTAATTTCAGACTGATGCATTTTTGTTACTTTAGCTCACTTCCCTTTAAGCAGATAACATCTCAGTCCGGAAGCTGAGTCCAATACTGTCTTCAGGAGGCTGAAGAGCTTGGCAAAAGAGACAGGCTATTTGTGTATACTCAGCATGACTTTAAAAAATTATTTTAAAAACCCCAATAAACTTGGACATAAGCGATTGTGCCTTTTGCAGTTCAACTTCTCCAAACCAGTTTCTTTTTGCAAGAGCTATCCTTGCCAGAGAGCACAAAGGCTCCCAGTCCTGACTGTTGCTTACTTCAGACATACACACTGTTCAAAGCCGCCTGCATTTTGACATTTTACTACTAGACACTTGAAGTTCATTACCGATAAAATGCAAGTTGCTTTGTTTCTGTTAATGAGACAAGCTCTTCGGCTATTTGTAAGCTATTATTTTCTACTTCACAAAGCCCCCAAACCCAGACATCCTTGGAAACGTACCATCTGCGATAAGCCATGAACACTGTTCTAGATCAACCCAATTTGAATGCATCAACAAGACTCCTGCAGCACTTTGTGCCGTATGTAATAGGACCAGGAGATAAGAATTTCATTAGCAGCACCAATAAAAACTGGGTATCACAGGACAGGTTTAAGAACAAAACTGAAAACTAAATGCATTACCAACCTAGTAGCTGAATTTTAGCCTCTTGCTTTTCTAAAAAATCCACACACTATCTGCTGTCCCACTGAATTCTAGCAGTGGAGAAGTCAAAAATCTGTATTTGTTACACTGAATATTAATAAGGGACTAAAGACATCTAAAACAAGAGTCCTAACAAGAGGAGTCACCTACAACTTTTGCAAAAAACATGCTCTCCTATACGTGAAATTCAGGCGGAAAGGAAGAGACACACACCCTGAAAACAGAACTTTGGGCAACAGCTGACAACAGAAGAGGAGCTAGTGCTTCTTAGACAATTTCTTGTGTACTCCTACATATTAAATACTGTCCTACATTGTGTGGGAAAGCACTGGGAATTCTTCCCTCTGCAGTCACTGCAGAAGCTGGCAGAAGACACCCGTATTCAAACGCTAAGAAAGTCAGACCTACGGTGCTTGCTGAGGCTTTTCTCTGCCAAAAGAAAACGGCAGAGACCCTCAAAAGTCTCACCAGGCTGTGGCCACCTCCATCATTTCTAGAACAGGAGAAGAGAACCAGGGCAGAT